GGATAGTTTTTTCTATAGAAAAAAATTCCTCAGGTCCCTGAGGATAGTTTTTTCTATAGAAAAAAATTCCTCAGGTCCCTGAGGATAGTTTTTTCTATAGAAAAAAATTCCTCAGGTCCCTGAGGATAGTTTTTTCTATAGAAAAAAATTCCTCAGGTCCCTGAGGATAGTTTTTTCTATAGAAAAAAATTCCTCAGGTCCCTGAGGATAGTTTTTTCTATAGAAAAAAATTCCTCAGGTCCCTGTCCCTGAGGACAGTTTTTTCTATGGAAAAAAATTCCTCAGGTCCCTGAGGATAGTTTTTGCTATAGAAAAAAATTCCTCAGGTCCCTGAGGATAGTTTTTTCTATAGAAAAAAGTCTCCTTAGGTCCCTGAGGATAGTTTTTTCTATAGAAAAAATTCCTCAGGTCTCTGAAGATAGTTTTTTCTATAGAAAAAAATTCCTCAGGTCCCTGAGGATAGTTTTTTCTATAAAAAAAAAAATTCCTCAGGTCTCTGAAGATAGTTTTTTCTATAGAAAAAAGTGACCTGAGTTCCCTGAGGACAGTTTTTTCTATAGAAAAAAATTCATCAGGTCCCTGAGGATAGTTTTTTTTATAGAAAAAAATTCCTCAGGTCCCTGAGGATAGTTTTTTCTAAAGAAAAAAATCATCAGGTCCCTGAGGATAGTTTTTTCTATAGAAAAAAATTCCTCAGGTCCCTGAGGATAGTTTCACTTAGAGAAAAAATCTGTTAAAAATTTTGCTGTCGACCAACTGAATTCCCCTTTTCTTCTTTTGAGAAATTTGGAAAAAAGGCACTTCCTCCTGATCATCTCCGGATGCCTTTGATATTTATGAAAATGTCTAAAATCCTGTTAGAAAAATTTATGAGCAATTCCATGTCACTGCAACTCAGCGCCACTTCCATTCATTCTATGGACCAGAGAAACACAACATAATTGAGACATTGTCTTCCATCAGGAGGCATAGCAGAGGACCCCCTCCATACTCCATGTTACGTAAATGAGCCCTGTAATAATATTCAATATTTTACGACAGGGGATAAGTGGTCGTATTTCATCACCCAACAACGACAACTCAATTTGGTGTTAGAAAAAAAAAACAACAACAACAACTTTAAGGAATATCAAAGAAGAGGAAGAAGAAGAATTTCCTCCGCCAGATCGACGAGATCATCAGTCCACCAAATGCATCTGGCCGGAATGCAAATGTGATGGTGGAGTGGGGCGTTTTAACGCCAACTAAGAAGATCAAGAAGAACATCGAGAAAAAGAATAAGAAACGGCAGCGAAGCATAAACAGCCCATTAACATTATCCGCGCATAATCTTCTCCCTATGCCGGGAGGCATACACAGGCAGGCAGGCAGCCAGCCGATGATGATGAGATGTCGCCGTCTTCATCGATTCAATTTACAAGCATGATGACGTAAAGCGGGCACCCTCAATAATCCGAATATTATCGACATCTACGTCCCCAACATCAGCAACAACAACAATAACAATGTTGTTATGGAAATTGATCGCATGTAATGATGGATAGCAAAAAACAAACATCTACATCCACATCCATTTAATTTGTGATTTTTTCTGGTTCATTTTACGCATTGATCTGAAAATGAGATGTTTTTATTTTTTTCTGAAAATTTAGGCTAATGACAGCCGAGAATAATTCTCAAAACCAAATTACGGATACTGATAATGGAATTGAAAAATCAATTGTAAATCATAGAGGGATTTGTATCTAAAAAAAAATAAAAAAAAAAAAAAAAATAAAAATAAAAAAATGCCGAATATAGGGAGGTACCGCTATTTGGGGCTATACGAAGACGTGGACCTGCACAGACAATTTTCTGTCTTAGACTGTAGCATCCGTTACGAACATCAAAAACCAAATTTGAAAAAATTCCGGTAAATAATGTCGCTTAAATCGTCAAAATACCGAATATCGGGAGGTACTTTTAAATGGGGGCTATACGAAGACGTTGACCTGCACAGATAATTTTCTGTCATAGGCTGTAGTATTCATTACGAACTTCAAATACCAAATTTGAAACAATTCCGATAAATAAGTTTGCTAAAATCATTAAAATACCGAATATCAGGAGGTACTGATATATGGGGCCTATACGAAGACGTGGACCGGCACAGATAATTTTCTGTCATAGGCTGTAGTATCCATTACGAACTTCTAATACCAAATTTGAAACAATTCCGGTGAATAAAGTCGCTAAAATCATCAAAATATCGAATATGGGGAGGTACTGTTATATGGCGGCTATACGAAAATGTGGACCTGCACAGATAATTTTCTGTCATAGGCTGTAGTATCCATAACGAACTCCAAATACCAAATTTGAAACAATTCCGGTGAATAATGTCGCTAAAATCATCAAAATATTGAATATGGGGAGGTACCGCTATTTGGGGGCTATACGAAGACATGGAACTGCAGAGACAATTTTCTGTCTTAGGCTGTAGTAACCATTACGAACATCAAATACCAAATTTGAAACAATTCCGATAAATAATGTCGCTAAAATAATCAAAATACCGAATATCGGGAGGTAGCGTTATATGGGGGCTATACGAAGACGTGGACCTGCAGAGACAATTTTCTGTCTTAGGCTGTAGTATCCATTACGAACTTCAAATACCAAATTTGAAACAATTCCGGTGAATAATGTCGCTATAATCATCAAAATACCGAATATCGGGAGGTAGCGTTATATGGGGGCTATACGAAAATGTGGACCTGCACAGACAATTTTCTGTCATAGGCTGTAGTATCTATTACGAACTTCAAATACCGAATTTGAAACAATTTCGGTGAATAATGCCGCTAAAATTAACAAAATATCGAATATAGGGAGGTACCGTTTGGTAGGGGCTATACGAAGACGTGGACCTGCACAGACAATTTTCTGCCATAGGTTGTAATATCCATTACAGCCTTCAAATACCAAATTTGAAACAATTCCGGTAAATAATGTCGCTAAAATCATCAAAATACCGAATGTCGGGAGGTACTGTTATATGGGGGCTATACGAAGACGTGGATCTGCACAGACGATTTTCTGTCATAGGCTGTAGTATTCATTACGAACTTCAAATACCAAATTTGAAACAATTCCGGTGGATAATGCAGCTAAAATCATCAAAATACCGAATATGGGGAGGTACCGTTATATGAGGGCTTTACGAAGACGTGGGCCGGCACAGACAATTTTCTGTCCTAGGCTGTTGTATCCATTACGAACTTCAAATACCAAATTTGAAACAATTCCGGTAAATAATGTCGTTAAAATCATCAAAATATCGAATATCGGGAGGTACCGTTATATGGGGCTATAAGAAGACTTGGACCTGCACAGATAATTTTCTGTCATAGGCAGTAATATATATTACGAACTTCAAATACCAAATTTGAAGCATTTACGGTGAATAATGTCGCTAAAATCATCAAACTACCGAATATGGGGAGGTACTGTTATATGGGGGCTATACGAAGACGTGGACCTGAACAGACAATTTTCAGTCATAGGCTGTATTATCTATTTCGATCTTCAAATACCAAATTTGAAACAATTCCGGTGAATAATGTCGCTGAAATCATTAAAATACCGAATATCGGGAGGTACCGCTATTTGGGTGCTATACGAAGACGTGGGCCGGCACAGACAATTCTCTGTCCTAGGCTGTAGTATCCATTTCGAATTTCAAATATTAAATTTCAAACAATTCCGGTGAATAATGTCGCTAAAATCATCAAAATATTGAATATGGGGAGGTACCGCTATTTGGGGCTATACGAAGCCGTGGACCTGCACAGACAATTTTCTGTCTTAGGCTGTAGTATCCATTACGAACTTCAAATACCAAAATTTGAAATAATTCCGGTAAAAAATGTCGCTAAAATCATCAAAATATTGAATATGGGGTGGTACCGCTATTTGGGGGCTATACGAAGCCGTGGACGTGCACAGACAATTTTCTGTCTTAGGCTGTAGTATCCATTACGAACTTCAAATACCAAAATTTGAAATAATTCCGGTAAAAAATGTCGCTAAAATCATCAAAATACCGAATATCGGGAGGTACCGTTATATAGGGGGCTATACGAAGACGTGGACCTGCACAGTCAATTTTCTGTCTGAGGCTGAAGTATTCATTGCGAACTTCAAATATTAAATTTGACACAATTCCGGAGAATAGTGTCGCTAAAATCATTAAAATACCGAATATCGGGAGGTACCCTTATATGGGTGATATACCAAGACGTGGACCTGCACAGACAATTTTCTGTCATAGGCTGTAGTATCCATTAAGAACTTCAAATACCAAATTTGAAACATTTTCGGTTAATAATGTGGCTAAAATCATCAAAATACCGAATATCGGGAGGTACCGCTATTTGGTGGCCATACGAAGACGTGGACCTGCACAAACAATTTTCTGTCATGGGCTGTACTATCCATTATGAACTCCAAATACCAAATTTGAAACATTTCCGGTGAATAGTGCCGCCAAAATCATTAAAATACCGAATTTCGGGAGGTACCGTTATATGGAGGCTATACGAAGACGTGGGCTGGCACAGACAATTTTCTGTCATAGGCTGTAGTATCCATTACGAACTTCAAATACCAAATTTGAAAGAATTCCGGTGAATAATGTCGCTATAATAATCAAAATACCGAATATCGGGAGGTACCGTTATATGGAGGCTATACGAAGACGTGGACTTACATGGCCCATTTTCAATACCAAAAGTCCTGCAAACATAATATACATTTGAGTAAAATTTTATTAACCTACTACTAAATAAAAATATAAAATAAATTAATAAAAAAAAATTCATTTTTCCGAGATTCAAAAACTGTCGATTTTTTTAAATAATTTTTCAATGAGCCTTGCTAAGGTCAATTTTCTAGAAATATGTTTTCGTATACAAAATATTGTTTAATTTTCACCCCAATTTTTTTTCATTTATTTTCAGCATATTATTGATAATTTCATTGACGGGTCTGACATGGGCCGATCTATCAACGGTGGAAAAGATTCGGGTGAGTTGATACCATTTTTAATATAATATGACCTTCCATGTAATGGAATACGGAATTTATATTTAAGAAGGATCGATTTGAGATCTATGGCGATGATGTTTTAATAAAAAAAAAAAATCAATTAATGTAATGGAATCTGGAAAGGTTTTTTGAAAAAGATCGATTTGAGATCTATGGCGACGATGTTTCAATTAAAAATTTCTACAAATTAAGTAAATGATCCTTAAATAAATGATCCTCTTATTTTTTCTCCAAAAATCATAATTACCCTCCCCATCTAGAAATCATCCCCTAACCTGATCACAAATAACCAGACAATGATTTTTTGAAATCGGATTTTTTTTTGATTTATTTCCCATTGAAAATAATGAATGACAATTTGTTGTTGCATGCCCAGAATCGTGCTAATTTGTCATTAAATAAATAAAACAACAATAGAATTCTTCGGATAAATAAATCACACAGAACTTGTTCTCTGTATCACAAAAAAAAAAGTATCAGAAAAAAACTTTCGCTTATCAATAATTCGTTTTTATTTAGAAATCTAATTTATTTCTCGTTTTTACGTAGCTGTGCCAATAAGTTATTGACCTACATCCCATGACAACGATTTTTTTCTGTGGCTTAAATTTGTGGTTTCAGCTGACAACTTTAAAAACATGATTTTATATTAAAAATTTTTTACCAAAGGAACTCTTATACTGATTTATATTTGACAATTATATACAAAACTTGGTCTTATACTAGCTTATACTTGGAATTTTCTAGAAAATCGGCGTCTTATACTAGGTTATATTGACAAAAGGTGATCTTATATGGTCTTATACTAGTTTATATAGACAAATCTTGTTCTTATACTAGCTCACATTGAGAAAATATGGTCTTATACTAGCTTATGTAGACAAAAAAGTGGTCTTATACTACCTTATATTGAAAAAATGTGGTCTTATACTAGCTTATATAGACAAATCGTGGTCTTATACTAGCTCAAATTGAGAAAATATGGTCTTATACTAGCTTATATAGACTAATCGTGGTCTTATACTGGCTCATATAGGCAAATCGTGGTCTTATACTAGTTCACATTGAGAAAATATGGTCTTATACTAGCTTATATAGACAAAAAGTGGTCTTATACTACCTTATATTGAAAAAATATGGTCTTATACTAGCTTATATAGACAAATCGTGGTCTTATACTAGCTCAAATTGAGAAAATATGGTCTTATACTAGCTTATATAGACTAATCGTGGTCTTATACTGGCTCATATAGACAAATCGTGGTCTTATACTAGCTCTCATTGAGAAAATATGGTCTTATACTAGCTAATATAGAAAAAACGTAGTCTTATACTAGCTCACATTGAGAAAATATGGTCTTATACTAGCTTATATAGACAAATCGCGGTCTTATACTAGCTGACATTAAGAAAATATTGAGAAAATATGGTCTTATACTAGCTCACATTGAGAAAATATGGTCTTATGCTAGCTTATATAGACATATAGTGGTCTTATACTAGCTCACATTGAGAAAATATGGTCTTATACTGACTCACATTGAGAAAATATACTTTTATACTAGCTAATATAGAAAAAACGTGTTCTTATACTAGCTCACATTGAGAAAATGTGGTCTTATACTAGCTTATATAGACAAAACGTGGTCATATACTAGCTCACATTGAGAAAATATGGTCTTATACTGACTCACATTGAGTGAATATGGTCTTATACTAGCTAATATAGAAAAAACGTAGTCTTATACTAGCTCACATTGAGAAAATATGGTCTTATACTAGCTTATATAGACAAATCGTGGTCTTATACTAGCTCACATTGAGAAAATATGGTCTTATACTAGCTAATATAGACAAATCGTGGTCTTATACTAGCTCACATTGAGAAAATATGGTCTTATACTAGCTAATATAGACAAATCGTGGTCTTATTCTAGCTCACATTGAGAAAATATGGTCGTATACTAGCTTATATAGACAAATCGTGGTCTTATACTAGCTCATATAGGCAAATCGTGGTCTTATACTAGCTCATATAGGCAAATCGTGGTCTTATAGTAGCTTACATTGAGAAAATGTGGTCTTATACTAGCTAATATTGACAAATCGTGGTCTTATACTACTTCACATTTAGAAAATATGGTCTTATACAAGCTTATATAATCAAATCGTGGACTTATACTAGCTCACGTTGAAAAAATATGGTATTATACTAGCTTATATAGACAAATCGTGGTCTTATACTAGCTCACATTGAGAAAATATGGTCTTAAACTAGCTCACATTCATAAAATATGGTCCTATACTAGCTTATATAGACAAAACGTAGTCTTATACTAGCTCACATTGAGAAAATATAATCTTATACTAGCTCACATTGAGAAAAAATGGTCTTATACTAGCTAATATAGACAAATCGTGGTCTTATACTACCTCACATTGAGAAAATATGGTCTTATACTAGCTCATATAGGCAAATCTTTTATTCAAATATTTTCATAATCATGCTCTTATACTCGCATTTTTTTTAGTATTATACTATTATACCCAAAAGTTTTTCCAAAACGTGGTTCTGCATTGTTTTATAGTCACGATTTTTTTTTTTCTAAATCGTGGTCTTATACCCACATTTTTTTGTAAATAGGCTCTTATACTCTCAGTTTTTTATTCGAAAATTTGTACATTTTTATTCAGATGCCCCTGAGCTTGCTTGGCCGGAAGCAACATAGCGCCACCTTACTTCTCCCTTTTTTACCAAATTATACTCCGTTTATTCTTCTACTCCAAACAACCTTGACTGAGCCAACCATCCCATAACCATCATGAGTGTCACTTTGCCACTTCATCCGACTCTTCGAAAATAACCTTCACCCAGTTAATTTATGATCCCTGATATGTAACCCATAAAAAAAACAACAACAACAAATGTAACAAACAAATCAATGTGGTGGAACGAACATGCTAGGAAGTTGCACCATACAAAGTGTATGAAGAGAACACTTCGACTAACTAATTCTCTCCGAAATCAACAAAAGAACAAATGCAAGCCATTTCCCCATTTCAATTGTTTGACAATTTTTTTTCTTTGTACATAACATGGATCATTAGTTTTAAACGCTCCCAGAAAATCCAAAAAAAAAAAAACAAAAAATCCAATAAATTCCAACAAGTTGCTGTTGGGTCATACCATCGAACCTCAACGAGCCGACATGCTGTTTAACCTTGATACACTGCAGTAGTGATTGGGTTCTATGGCGTTGTTATTGTCATCGATTCTTTCAATCTTCCCAGTTTTTTGTTGTTATAGTTTTTATTGTTGTTTTGGGTTTACAAAAGAGCCGAAATTGGCTCGTTTAGAGGCCTATTGATTACCAAGACCACAATTGATGAAATCGTCAATGATCCATGGCGAAAACGTTTTAACTAAATTTGGAAAAATCAGAACAATAATGACCCAAAAAAATGCTATTTTTTCAAAACATTTCTCATAGGAATGACGGTGATGAACCACCACACCTTGGCATAGCTTTGAATGGCAACAACAATAATGCCAGCCATCTCTAATGAGGGGTGAACAGTTAATTGTTCATTATTGCAAAACAAAAAATATATTTTTTTGAAAAAAAAAATTGAAAATAAAATAAATAATGAGATATTTAAAGAATGAGTCATAGGATTCAAATTTCTAGGGAATCCTAAAAAATCCTAAGTGAACGTGGACGTCCTTGAGAAAATATTTTTAAAAAATCCACGTTTATTGATAGTCCTTGAGAAAATATTTTTAAAAAATCCACGTTTATTGATAGTCCTTGAGAAAATATTTTTAAAAAATCCACGTTTATTGATAGTCCTTGAGAAAATATTTTTAAAAAATCCACGTTTATTGATAGTCCTTGAGAAAATATTTTTAAAAAATCCACGTTTATTGATAGTCCTTGAGAAAATATTTTTAAAAAATCCACGTTTATTGATAGTCCTTGAGAAAATATTTTTAAAAAATCCACGTTTATTGATAGTCCTTGAGAAAATATTTTTAAAAAATCCACGTTTATTGATAGTCCTTGAGAAAATATTTTCAAAAAAAACCCACGTTTATTGATAGTCCTTGAGAAAATATTTTTAAAAAATCCACGTTTATTGATAGTCCTTAAGAAAATATTTTTAAAAAATCCACGTTTATTGATAGTCCTTGAGAAAATATTTTTAAAAAATCCACGTTTATTGATAGTCCTTGAGAAAATATTTTTAAAAAATCCACGTTTATTGATAGTCCTTGAGAAAATATTTTTAAAAAATCCACGTTTATTGATAGTCGTTGAGAAAATATTTTTAAAAAATCCACGTTTATTGATAGTCCTTGAGAAAATATTTTTAAAAAATCCACGTTTATTGATAGTCCTTGAGAAAATATTTTTAAAAAATCCACGTTTATTGATAATCCTTGATAAAAATATTTTTTAAAAAATCCACGTTTATTGATAGTCCTTGAGAAAATATTTTTAAAAAATCCACGTTTATTGATAGTCCTTGGGAAAATATTTTTAAAAAATCCACGTTTATTGATAGTCCTTGAGAAAATATTTTTAAAAAATCCACGTTTATTGATAGTCCTTGAGAAAATATTTTTAAAAAATTCACGTTTATTGATAGTCCTTGAGAGAATATTTTCAAAAAAAATCCACGTTTATTGATAGTCCTTGAGAAAATATTTTCAAAAAAATCCACGTTTATTGTTAGTCCTTGAGAAAATATTTTCAAAAATATCCACGTTTATTGATAGTCGCTGAGAAAATATTTTCAAAAAAATCCACGTTTATTGATAGTCGCTGAGAAAATATTTTTAAAAAATCCACGTTTATTGATAGTCCTTGAGAAAATATTTTTAAAAAAATCCACGTTTATTGATAGTCCTTGAGAAAATATTTTTAAAAAATCCACGTTTATTGATAGTCCTTGAGAAAATATTTTAAAAAAATCCA